AAAACTCAATATTCCCCCTCCGGGTGGGGGGGGGGGGGCACCTCAAAATGTTCCACCCGTTGACTAGTTTGGTCGCTTTTTTGATGTATTTTTTTTTTTTTGCACGACAAAGATGAAGATCACAAGGCGCAAGATGGGTTTGATCCATTAAAAGCTCCAAAGATGTTGCTTGGATGCCATTGTGTGACGCTTCCAGCCTCGCAAAGCTCCACGGCCACATCCTGCGAGGTGCAGTGAGCCCTGCCATCCCAATCCAGTGGCTGGATTTCCACTGAAATTGGCTCGTCATTGCCACAAGTTTGCAACAAAGCACTACTTTTGTCGAAACGCAACACACCCTTTCGGTTTGACAGAGTACCTTGGCATCAAAACATGACGTGATGGTGCCAAAGTTCTATTTTTATGCTTTACCTGAGCACAATAAGAGAAAATAATCAAGAATAGAACCCCCCCCCAAAAAAAAAATTACAAATAAGCTGTAGTTGACAAAATTTGCGAAGCCCGACACGCGACACTGTACCGGGTTCACATTGAGTGCATTTCTGGTTCGTCTGGAAATGTGACGCGAATGGCGCATCTCCCCGTTTTTTTGTGAGTGGGTATAACTTGGCCAGATGCTAAACGCTTGTCAAACGTGGCCAACTATTTCCTGGCTGCTCGGGCGGCTCACCACACCACGTCCAATCAAGAAGCAGCCCAGCATGCGGGAGGCGCGGCCACGAAAGCCATCCGCTAATGTCGGATTTCCGCCGGCCCGGGTCAGATGAAGCCTCTGCGGACGTCGCCCGGGCGGGCGTTGCCCGCCGGGGGCCGCGGGTCGCTGCGCCGCCGGCGCAAAGGCCGGCGGTCGCTCGTCATATCCTCCGCCGATGATGCCGGGGACGCGCGGCGGGGCGAAGGGAACCGGGCCGAACAGGGGCCGGTGGATGAAAGGGGGGAGCGAGCAGGGGCGCTCCACCACGCCTCGCTTCTGACGGAACTTGTAGAAACTTTTGTACAGCTGCGCACACACACACACATAGACGTAAGGTCATTGTCGGCCATGTGAGCGAGCGAGCATGATGGCTGACCTCCTTCCAGTTGGTCTCTCCCTGCCATTTGTGATCTAAAGGTCAACAAATAGATCACATGAGCACACGTAGAGGTCACTCAAGGTCATGGGAGGTGCGCGTCTTACCGCTGAAGTCCCGCCGCACCAGGTGTCTCCAGAGGGCCGCGTCGGCGGCGGCGGCGTTCAGATGTCGACAGACGGCCGACAGTCGCACCACCGAGATCACGTCCAGCAGCCGCAGCACCAGCAGCAGCAACTCGGGGGGGAGCGCCGAAAGGCCGAAGGCCACCGGGAGACGCAGCGCTGGATGGACCACAACGCACGCTGGTCAAACTCAGGACAACTCGTCATGCCAACGACGCTCGCGAAGCCTGCTAAGGTGCAGGCGGCCGGCCGGCCGGCGAGCGAGCGGGCGGCGGGGTTTGCCGCAACGACTTTGCGGCCATGTTCCGCGCCACGCGTCTTACCTTCTCGCGTGGCTGCGATCAGCGGGTAGACCAGCTGGTCCTTGTACACTCGCGACAGCCGACTCAGACCGGTGAAGGCGGACGCCGCGCTCGCTCCTGGAAGAAATCGGCAGTGAGCGAGGACCGGCGCCGCGCTGCGCCTACGCGACACACGGAGCACTCGGACCTGGCCACGCCTCAGTCACGTAGACGCCGGGGTCCAGGCAGACTTTGGCCGCCATGCTGGCGCTGTCGGCCACCTGCAGGATGGCTGCGAGGAACGTGATGAAGACCGTGAGGCCGAGGCAATGTCTTCATCACCGGGAAGATGAAGGGAAGGAAGGTCGCTCACCTTCAATGACGAGCACGGGGTTCATGGGCACCGCCACCACCGTGACCGCGCCCCTTTCACACAGCGTGTGCGTGTACTGAAGTCTGTAGGCGCCGCCGGACGAACGCCATCCGGACGGCATCTCCGCGGGCTTCGCTTCGCCGCCCTGAAGGCCCCACAAGTCCGCGAGTCAAGATTTCCGCAACAGGGTCGGCTTCAAAAGTCAAAGGGAAATGAATCCGCAGGGCCGCGGCGTACGACACGAGCGATGAGATGGCACCAACTCGAACGAAGACTCGGCTGAGTGGAACCGTGTCGTGCGCAAAAAAAAAAAAGCATGGGCCCTAAAACTGAGCCTTGAGAAATACGACAGCAAATGGGAACCATCCGACTGACGCGCCAACATCAAAAGACCTCAGCGCCGCAACGCGGCAAGTTCACACGGCAGCGATAAAGCTTGCGAGGTTAGAAAAAAAAAAAAAATGGACCGACGTTGGAGGTTCCGGACCTGGGGCGTGAATCCGGTCTCCAGCATGAGCAGGTGGGCGGCCACCATGACGGCGTCGGCGGGAGAGGTGACCTCGGCGGCACGGTAGAGCAGCTCAACAGCATGGGCTCCCAGCAGAGGACGGCCGGCGTCCGGTGGTCACGGGCCTGTCCGGCGGCGTCGGCGGCGGGCCCGTCGGCAGGAGCGGCCGCGCTACGGGGCTGCAAAAGCCAATCAAGATAAGATGACGCCGACGCGGAACCAATGACGACGCCCATCTTTTCCCGAGCGATTTGGGCGCGCTGCCGTCCGTGGAGGACGACAAAAAGTGGACGTAGCATCGATTGGTCGAGGGGCTGAAATTCAAAGGACTCGGACAATTTCAAGTCCGACGAGGTGTCAAAACAAGGAATTGATGGTCAATAGTTGTTATGTGATGATGGATTCCCCGTCAATGATTTTCCTAATGGCTGCCCCTCCCGAGTGCTCCAGACATCAAATGGCAACGCGTACCTTCAGAAGTCATTCACCAAAGCAACCGTCTTCGACTCGAGTCGAAAAGCCAACCTTGTTAAGGCTCGCTGCCGATCGGGACTTTCGCTGATTAACTTCCGTAGTGTGAGCCCGCCGTACGAGCCCCCCGCCACCCCAAAAAACCTGAGACATCATCTCACCTGGCTGGAGGTCATTGCGGCGGCGGCGGTTTGGGCGCTGGGCGCGGCGAGCGGTCGGACGGTCCCCGCAGGGGATGCGTCCCTGGCGTCGGGCGGGGAGCCGGCGCGGGCCC